AAGATTGTAGTTTTCTTCCTTTTTTTGGGGGGGGGGGGCTCAGAGCTGTCTAAAAACATGAAACTCAGTGTAGCTAATCTTGGTACTGTTTCTACTTTAGATTTCTCCTGCAATGTAGCTACAAAACAGTTTCAAACTGGAACAAAACATTTTAGATAAAGCAGAAGTATCTAACTATCCAAACAACAAGGAGTTAATGAGCATCAAGATGGCAATGTTTGATCTGTCAGTAACAAAAATGCCTGCAAAGCTCCCAGTGGTCTATGCTTGCTCACAAACTGACTGTCTTCAAGTCAGTGACACCTGGGCATAAATAGCCACGTTCTACAGCTGACTTGAACTCTTTGCCTTAGCTACACCTGAAGAGGTGCTTGCAGCTACCCAAGCAGGGCACCGTGCTAGCATTAGGGGATCTAACAGAGCACTGAGGAGAGAAACACTGCATGCTTTTGGCACCAAAATCCTTGGTTTTGCCTCTTTTTTTTTTAACGAATTGTTGGAGAATTTGTCTGTCTTTCTGAACACTGTAGGATGACAGGAGAGAGTTGTCAGCATTCAAGTGGTTTGGTGCAGGTCCACAGTAGGATCAAAATTCGGATCAAAACCTTAATGGGGAAATGCGGAAGTGGGAGGAAGGGGAAGGCAGGAGAAGAAAAAAAAAAAAAACATACCAGGGAGGGAGAGAGAGAGGGAAGGCGGTGGGGGGAGAGAGGGAGAGAGAAGGAGGGAGAGAGACTTCATCTGAAATGAATAAATCCACAAGAGGCAAAATGTCTCCTGGAAGATATTTATTCCGCTTTTTCCAATATAATTAAATCCAAAGGATAAGTGGGAGGTGAGGGGGAAGGAATGGTTCCTATACTCCCCATTAATTATGCTCTGAAGACCTACCGAGTCTGGAAAAAAATGAGATTGGCTGACACTTGTTTTCTTCCATCTCATACCCTGGGGAATTGACTTTTATCTGAAAAGACGCAAGCTCTGCTCTTTATGGGGGTCTAGAATCTCTTTGATAAAAACAACTTCCATGAAAATATCTCATTGAAGAAAATTATCCCTCATTTTAGGGCTGTTTCCTATAGTGTGCCATTTAAGCCATAGTTAGACACAAATGTCGAGCAGCTGGGAGATTAAAGTTATTTCTTTCTGTTTGTGAGCAGAAAAACATGTATCAAAACAACAAAAGATATAAATTAAAATAGATTTCATTATTTTGTTACAAGATTGTTTGAATACATATCCTTCCGGCCACTGCCTGGTCTAGCTGAAAGGAATGTCAACAAAACAGAACGCTTATAATACATGGATAACCTTGGAAGTTCTCCTGAAATTTTATTTAGGAAGCTAAACAACAAGATAAATGGTGAGACTTCAGTTGGAAGCAAACTTTACATCTTTAATAGAAACGTTCATGAGATTCAGCAGACAATTTCACATTTAATCCCTGATTTCGTATGTAAGAACAACCCAAACAGAGTTACAAAGAAGTACCCTGTGCTGAGGAGCAGGTAGGTGGACATCAGGGAGAGCAGTATGCTGAACAGTCGCTGAAAGAGAAACGTGGGGCTCAGTAAAGGCAACACTGAGGAAGAAACTGCAACAAAAACAAATCCGTCAGTCCCTATATGCAGAACATTTCAGCCTCACGAACAACATAAAATTCTTCAAAGCTTAGCATTTAATATACAGCAATTCAAATCTGGTCATATATGCCCCTATTTTCAGAAGTTACTTTTGCTAAAGAAACCCAAGCGTTCAGGATGTTTAATATTTATCAGAAGCAACTTGGATGCTCTATCATACTAATTTCCTGCCTGTCTAGCCCACAGACATCATAATTTCTCACGAACTGCTATGTCCTTCAGATAACTCAGATGGTAGTACCCCCCCTCCCCCCAAAAAAAACAACTTTAACATGACCCTGAGAACCACTTACCATGGCCTTCAGGACCTCCAGCAGCTCAAGGACTGCAGTTACAGAACCACTGCTCTGCTGTATTGCATTAGGAAACCTGCTACATTTTGAGGTACAACTGAAAATACTGGCAGTGTTTAAATATAGAAACTATCAACTTCTTGGCTTCTATAGCTGAAAGGTTTAAAAACATGAGGATTTAAGGAACTACAGGGGACCTATCCACTCTAATTCATGTGTCTTCTTGCCTTTAATATCTAAAGTATTTCTCTAATGCAGGTGTGGGATCTTAACAACTGTATTGCATCTCTTCTGTGCTGTCCATTACTCAGCTGACCAAGCAACCAGCCCTGGTTAACACAGTCAGTGCTGCCTCTGAGGAGCCTCCTCTCACAGGAGAACTTCTACAGGTGAGGACAGGGCCCAAGAGTTCACAGGAGAGAGGAAATACAGCTTACTGGACGGATGCATAAAGGTGAAGAAAAGAAGAGGGAAAGCGTCCAAGTGCTTGCAGAAGGGAAAGGGAGAGGCAAAAGCATTTGCTGCCATTTGGCCATTTTAAACCTGAGTTATATATGTAAGAATTTTATTTGATCTCTTCATAAAGGGAGTTGACAAATAACATTGGTGTCATTCTTCAATGTGCTATGATCCCCAAACATTACTGAATCACTCAAAGTCTGCATCAACAGTAAGTCGTAATTAATGAATAATTACCTGATTCAGTAATAAAAGTATAATAGACAGGAAGTGCATTGTTTGGTTGTGTTCATTGTCATAGCATAGCTCTTTAATAGTACTTTTAGTAAACACATCCATGAATAGAGGCAGTTTCTAAAATTTGTGGGTCAGCAAGTTTTATTTCCTGGCTTCCAGGCTCAGCCATTGTTAGAATAACTGAGTAAACGACTTCATTTCAAGGGTGCTTCAGCCTTTCAGCATCACTTGTATCATTCTGGGCCTAAAGAAGGCCCTGCTCAAGGAGAAATTCCAAGGACATTCACCACAAGTCAGAACTGGTGGAAAGAAATTCAGTGTGGCAACTGGCCTCTGAATGAATGAGACCAAACACATCAGATGTATATTGCCCTCTAAAGTTTGCACAACGGTAGGTGAGAACAGACGAGTGGCTGGCAGGTTATAACTGTCCCTTCTCTTCCATCTCAGAGGTACCACATCAGATATTAAACATCAAAAGACCTCTAGGTTTCTGGTTCACCCATGCACATCTCTCTACATGCGCCCTGCCCACAGCTATAACATGGAAGTCCTCAAAATTTGTCACGTGGCTAAAGTACATTTCTGCTGATGAAAAAATCTGGCTGAAATATAATGTAGATTTATTTAAAAATATCTGCTAACATAAAAAAGAAGGTTCTGAAGAACACAGGAAGCAGCTGGATCCACACTGATTGCTGAGTTTACCTCTGTCTGCTTGCTGTTAAGTTGCACTAACCATATGGTGCAACAGCTAAAGTCAGCTCTTCCTCTAGGCCTGTAGGAACACATGACCAATTCACTTGCCTGGTTCTCCAAGGACCAATCTTTCTTTAAAAAAAAGAATTTCAGGCTTAAATTAAAATTTTAAACAAGGTGGACTTCATATTTATCAGAACAAACATTTGGGAAGGGGGGAACAATTTGCTAGAAAACAATGGAAGTGCCATTTCCAGCTTACCAATATCATGAATAAATACTGATAACTGTCTAACTGTGATAACTTAAATATATTAATATACTGAGGTTCAAAAATATGAGTTCAGCCAGTAACAATGCTATTCTTCCAGAATTCTCTTCCAGAAAAGGATGAAGAGGAATCTCACCCTCCCGTGATGGTGATAGGCTTGGAAAGCTACATCAGACCTTGATACCTTAACTGCTACGATGCCACGCTTGTGGTAGACGCTCGTGACAAGCTAGATGCTAGCTTGTGGTTACACTAGTGATAAGGCATTTCTTTCCAACAGGAGGATTGAGGACACTCTGTTAGATGCCTAAGCTTTTTACCTACCTTGTTCTGTGTTTAATTATGTAAAGCAGCTTCAATAAAAGCATAAAGTTCCTACCTTTTATATCATATCCACTACAAATGACTACTTCCAGTCTGAAAGGTTTTGCTAAAATATTCAATACCACTGTGGCAGCAAGTAGACTTTTCAGGTTCATGCAGTCTATTTCAGTTTTAGCTTTAATTTTAGCACAGAAACATCACCTGCAGCAACGAGAATTTCTAATACACCTTTTCCTTAACTCTATATTTCTCTGACTGCCCAAGTCATCTCTTAGCTGAAAAATATTTTTCTCTCACCCTTACACAGGAGGGAAAAACTAACCTTTACCCTCAATTCCTGTTACAGTAAGCCAAACAGGACATCATTGCCTTCAGTGGCTTTTCAAACTGCGTGGAATTCATCCACACAGAGATCACTACATAGCTTAGCAGGCTATGAAGAGTCAGGAAAGGATGATGGTGCTATAAAATGCTCCAAAGAAAACTACGTTACAAAGAGAGCCCCCCTCATGCACACATTAATCACAGTCAGTTATACTAATCTTAAACTTGTTTCCTCAAACAAAAGATTGCTAAAACTAACAATCTCTGCTTAAGTTACAACAACGCCACCACTGCAGGAATGGACATAGGACATCCAGCAACTAGCTAACAAGAGTCATAATTCTGCCATAAAAAAAATAAAGTTTAAATTCCTGGTCTTGAATTTTAGCAAAGAGATGCTATGAAGCCATAAATGGGATACATTTAGGTCTAAAATTCCCACACACCACAATTAATCAGGGATAAAGAATGCCTAACATTTTCTAATGGAGTCCAACAGATTTTTTTTATAGCTGAAACAAAGGTTTTCTTCTACTGTATCCCATAGCCTCAATGATGATTATATTCGCTCTGTTTAATTATCCTCAGATTTTAATTTTAGAATGGTGAAAAATCCAGTGCTTTACGCTGTTTTTTTTCTTTAATAAGTTTCTAAGAGTTATCAAACCTGTATTAATATCATCAGATCACAAAAATTTTGTATGGCAGTTCTGAACAGCACGTTAATACCACAAGAGTCTCTGCCATCAGCTGCAGCTTCAGTCTTTATTGAAACACAGGAACCAGCTTTTCCTCACTTCCCTGAGTTTAACTGGTTTGCTTGAGGAACAAACCAGATTGCCCTTCTTTGGCTTCAAGCGAAGCAAAAATGGAATTGGTACCATTATATCCCTAAAAGGGATCTTTGAGATATTCAAAATATTCAAAACAAAAGATAAGGCTACTTGTAAATCAAAGTTGTTCACTTTTTATCACAAACTTACAAAAGAGTAATGTTTTAGGAATTACATTCATTAGAAAAAAAAACTAACTTGGAAAAGAAGGATGGTGAACACATTTAAGAACTAACAGGATTAAAATAAAGGAAAATGTGCAAAAAGGAGTAAGATGTTAATACAAAGTCTGCCTCCCTCCTTGTTCCCTCTCCCCCACCCCCCACCAAAAAAAAAAAAAAATAAAACCCACTAAACCCAACTATCAGCACGCAGCTTGGGAAGAGAAGATGATCTTACCTAGAGTTGTCCAGCTAATAATTTGATTGAATACTGGCAATCCCTGTTTGTTCTGAAGACTGTTGTGTGTACTGCTCACAACATATGTTGAAAGTGCAATGCTCAACATCTAGAAAGAAATGAGACAATTAAACACACAAGCAATGTGGAGATCTCTGTCTTCCCATACTAAAATATGTAAACTGTTGTTTCAGAGCTGTATAAACCCCACATCTGAATCAACACAAGAGGAAGCGGGAGAGAATGCCTGAGGAGACTCTCTGATATGCAAGTCAAACATTTCTCGCTTCTTAAAAACTTATGCTTTTTAATACTTCTTTCCAAACTTTTTTTATTGACGCTGTTTTTAAATCATTTAAACAAATGTCCTGGATCAACTTGAAATGCTATGCCCTCTGTCAATAGTAACTCCTTAAACACTCATGTAAAGCAGAAAAAACATATGACCCCTCCTTTTTTTTTTTATGCAAACCATTTTTTTTTAGCCAACACCTTATAAGCCTTCCAAAGCCTTCAAGTAAAGTTGCCTGTGCCCTTGCTTTTGTTTTTTTTGACATGCACACACAAGTATATATTGCATTTTGCTAGACACTGCAAGAATCCACCAACAAATCAGGGCTCAACATGGAAGTCCCTTTTTATAACCCAACGCCCTTCTTTATAACCTAACCATCCCCCTCCCACCTCTCTCCCCCGCCCTTTTTTTTTAAAATAAGTTTAAGTATGAAAAAAGAAACTGAATGAACAACCAAACAAGCAGCAGAGATCAAAGAGGCAGAAGAGTACTCATTTGAATGGCAATGACAAAGAACCTGCAGAACCACTGGCTTCTCCACCATATCAGGTACAGGGTGAAGAGGAAGGTAAGTTAAGCAAGGAGCTTTGCAGGGGCAGCAGACCTCCTGCCAGAGGAGCTGGCAGCAGCAGAGCAGATTGAAGGTGAATTTTAACAGTTGGAAAGAAGCTGCAGTTTCAGCAGCCTGTTCAAATGAACTGGTCTGAATCATCTCAAGTGCAGTCCTCTCCTGTGGGGAAGCAGCTAGGCTAAAAAAAAGGGGTTTCTCCTGAATAACTCAAGAGACAGCAATCAGTCATCAGGTAGCTACAAAATAACCTTAGGAAAATTATCCTGTGAGACAGTTATTTTTGAGAGAAGCAGAAAATTATCCAAGAAAACGCTTCAGCCCAGTTTTCAATTACTGCTATTTATTTACAACTTTGCAGGTTCCCCTAAGAGGCAAATTAGGCATACATGGCACTTTGTAAACATGTAATTTAAAATGGCATTACAAGATATAATTGTACTTGCGGCTTTATCGGTGCAAAGCAACCAGATATTTTTCACAGCCTTCCCTTTTTACTGTTCGAATAGCTACCATTCTCCCTCCATATGCACTGACATCTAGTGGTACCTACGCAGAGAACAAGTTTCACAGCATCCTCTTACACCCTGGTTTTAGAGAAACTCAGTGTCTGCTGGTTTAATTAATTTAATTAATACACAAGTTATATTTCTGCATGACATAAGTTAGTTGAAGAATTAAGCCTCCAAGAGTTCAAGGGATTGGCTCAATTAGGCCTCTGGTGTTTAGTTGGGATGTTTTTGCTGTATTCAGGCCAGACCCCTCTTCCCTTTGATACATCTTTTCAACTTCTTTTAGTGCCTGTGAGCTCTGGCAATCCTTCTGCTATGCCCTAATCACTAGTGAAGTCACACTGCATTCACTTCGAGTCATTTCCCCTAAGTATATCTCATACCTCCAAAACACTCCGTTTTAAGATTTGTGATGACCTAGGCCCATCAGGAAACCTGATTTACTGCTGCTAGATCTATGCTAGGGTCCTGGGGGAGCCTCAGCATCTGCTTCCGAGACTTCTGTGCTCACAACTTAGCTAACGCTAAAAGCTGCTCTCTGCTTTCACGGACGGCCTCTAGGACACTGGAACACCTCAGAAACTACTTGGAAATGTAAACCGAGGACTCAGGAATCAGTCGTCTTTCCCCCTACTACCTCCCTTGAGGCAATCCCACAGAATATTCTTGGACAGCCTCTTGGACTGCCAGCCTCTAAGAAACAATCACCTGTAGGTCACAGCTAGAAAGAGGAAGTCAAGGGTGGCATCTACGGTCCCACCACCTCTTTGCCAGCAGCTCAGGCTCTGCGCTCTACTAAGCGCCTACCGCGATAACAACCCATAGAGATAATGATATACGGCCCAGCATCATCAACTGGACTATATGCGCAGTGGGTTCAAAACACTCCCCCTGTATGCTAATCCCATGGGTTTGACATGGATTCCCACTGTGGCCCAGCATTACCAACCAACGGATACAGCAGCTTTTTTTGGCAGTACAACAAAAACTGGACATCACCTACGAAACTGCTTGGAAACGGCTAGATAAACTGATGGCTAGATAAACTCCAGCAAAAAAATTAAGTTTTACAGTAAACACTGCAGCTACCTAACTGATAAATTACAAATAACTTTCACCTTGACTATTCCTGAAGCCTTAACGACTTTTCAAAGACAGAAGTGACATTAACCAAAAGACAATGCTTTCCTTGCCACAGCAAAGAAAATTCAGCTAAAAATGTTATTCCTGCTTCAATGATACTAAAAAAAAAAAATAAACTCCTGAGACACTGTTGGCAGGTTTCAGAAACTACGGGGGAGTAATTAGTATCTTCTGCCTCAAGCAACAGTGAATTCTATCAAAACTACAAAAGTAGGTCTAGGCATAACTGAAGGTGTAACAGTTATTGGTGCAACCATAATGAAGTTGGTGATGAAGTTGGTAATGAACTTCATTATTGGTTGGTGCAACCATAATGAAGTTATTTAAGTTTTTATTTTTACTTTTTTGTTTCCATATCTATACACGTTCACTGAAAAATTTTTTTGATCATGTTTTTTGGTTGTCTAGGACTTTTTTGTTTCTTTAAGGTTAACACACTTGTTGGAAATCTAATGTGTAGGTACAAAAAACAATGAACAAATTAATAGTCTGTAAACGGTTTCTCAGATCAATAGGTTTGTATACTCCTTTGCCAAGTTGTAAGCATCTCTGGTGCATCCTTGGAGAAACCAACACTAAAATACAGTTCAGGACTGAACATGAGGGAAATATCTTCTCTGTGGAGCATTAGATGCAAGCTGCCGTTATTTCTGCCTACTCAGAGAGTCTCTGCCAACTGTCAAAAAGTTGGTGGCATCTCTCACTTGCCTTACCACAAGCAACAAGCATTCCCCAGCTGGCTTAAACAGTAAAGTGAGATACCGACTCCACTCTCTCCACTTCACTGGTTTCTCTCCACTGTCACACCTCACTACAAAGCTCCTTAAGGATGGAGGTGGGGCTCTGACACATAAAGAGTATGGAGAAAGAACTGCTGTAAGTATTTGTTATTAATTAACCTGCAATTTCTCTCAATGCCCTGAGCCAACAGCAGCCCTTAAATTTCACTCTCAGGAAACTACGCTGTAAGCACAGAGAATGTGCACATCACAAAAAAACAAACTCCTACTGAATGAGGTCCACTTGCTCAGTTTCCAATGAAATCTCAGCAAGAGGGTACAGAAATAGAGTAGACAGGAAATAAAAGAGATGTGATGTGAGAAAACAGGCTTGGGAACTGTTTGAATCTCCTGTACTTGAGTGGCACAATCCCCTAAACTACCTCAGTACAGGCACTATCTAAACACTGCCATTCCAAATAGCAGCGGGGTATGAAAGCATAAAGGAATCAGCACACTGCCAAAATGCTCAGCTAAAACTCAGGTTCCTTTCTGTCAGAATGGACAGTAATTAACCTAATGGGACAAGCTTTGTTCCTTACCAGGCAAGGCATCTTCACCACAGGCTAGTTCTTAGATAAAAAAAAGAAAGCCCACTTGGGCAAGAGAGAGGAAAACCATGGACTTCCGAAGAGAGGAAAGTTCCTCACAAGCACTACAAAAAGTCTAGGCTATGCAGAACCCCTCTCTTTCTCTGAAAGAGAAACTGAAAATGGAAGTGTCATTATTCAGGAGCCATTCAAAGAATAACTTGTGGAAAAAAAACCTCAGGCAACCAAAACTACTTTAGTCAGATTTCTTGTATGAAAGTACACCTCATCCCAAACAAGCAGATGGAAAAACTTGAGGTCCTGTGAAATGAAAGATTCAAAAGAGGATTCTTGCACACAGACACTGCCAAAATGGAGAGGGAAAGGATTTTTAAAAAGGGGTTGGGGCACCCTGATCAGAGAAGTTTGGCCAAATCAGTATTTTCTTTCCCTGAAAGACAGTAAAAAAGCAAGAACCAGCAGAGATTCCTACTCCGTTGTGCAATTTAAAGGTTTTTGTTCAGAGCTGAACCTATAGAAGAGGTCAGCAGAGTGGCTAAGAGAATCCCAAGACACACCACTAAGATCACTGATGAAGAGACATCATGTTTTCCCTTCTACTTCAGTCAATACTTTCCAGAAAAACAACACACAAAGAAGAATGAACTGTAGCAGACTAAGCTATCTTCTCATTCTCCAGAATGGGGAACCCTCAAACAACCAATTTCATTTTCCTGTCTATAAAGGAACTATGTATCAGATGAATGCGTAACTTTCAATGAGTGCCTCCTAATAGGACATATCAGGAAGGTGAAAAAACTATTTCTAAGAATCCCCTTGACAGATGCAGAGCAGGAAACTGATTGCGCGTGTTCACTTGTATGGATGTCAGAGCCCTGATCGCTCTGACTACGAAATAGGAATGTCTTGTCTGATGAGAAGTTTCATCTTAGCCTTAAGCCTGCCCAGCAGCTGTGCGTCAAACTCGTGTTCAAAACGCTCCAAATCAGCATTTTTGAAGACTTTTTTCCTCTCATTGAGAACTTCAGCCCAAGAAGAAAAGCAAAGGGAGAACAAGCAAATTCCGTTGTCCAGAAATAGCAATAGTCTCCTGGCAAACATTCTCTTTTAGCATTCCTGTGTGTTTCAGAGCAAACGCATACATTTAAACCCTGAGGAAAAAGCTCTTCGTTCATGAGCACCCTGTAATGTTCTTTTCCCACTCAAAGTTTGAATTACTCTGCCCTCCCATCCTTCCTGCACCCAGAATGTGAATGGTAGACTCCATGATCTCCATTCCTATGGAAGTTTTTGAAATAAAAATCCAATAGAGACTAGTAGTTACACACCATTATTGTAAAATACCCACTGATAAAGGAACAACTGGAGGAGCTTTATAATCTTCTTAACGGTTGGGAGAAAAAGGAAAACGTTTATTCCTGAAGAAGCAGGTAGGGTTTTTTTTTTCACCTGATTAAGTATCTCAGGGCTTACAGAATTTCCTGACTCTCTAAAGCTGGCTCAGAAAGAGCCTGTCATGTCTTATACCCTTTGACTACATGTCTATTCCCACAGGATCCTTCAGAAATCCCCAGTAAGCTACTACACAAAGTTACACTTATAGCTGCTGAGATTCTGCAGCGGCTGTTTTCAGGCATTCCAATGGGAAATCCACTGCTGACTGTATCTTCAGTGTGCACTGTTTGGTTTAAATGTTTAAGAAAGGAATGGACATCTTTTTTCCAAAGTTAAGACAGAAAAAGTTAACAGAAACAACCATTATCCTATTAACGTGTGCATACAGGTAAAGGCATTAAAAGCACTCATTTTTCTGTCCTCTCCTCCTCCTAATCAATTTGATCCCTGCCTCTCAATCACTGATACAATGAATGCATTGCTTAGCTCAGTAAGAAATTCCAACACATAACAACTCATAACCAATAAAGCTTTTAAGAAATATTATTGGTCCTGAGGTAAAACCATTATCTTGTAACAAGTTAAAAAAAATGAGGATAGCAGACATGTAAAGTATTATTAGAATTTCAAAAGCTCTCTAGAACTTAATTAGCACATACTATGAAAAAGATCTGCCTCCTTCAGGAGGTTATAAAGGAAAATCTTAGCGTACATTCAAAAGAAGATTTAACCAACAGAAAAGCAGCTCTGTATTAGTCTTACATGATTCTTAACTGCCACCCAGAAAGAGGAAAGAAATCCCTGAATGAGCAACCATGTCCTTGGCTCACGTGTGAAATTCCCACAAAGGACACTGGAATTTACATATACAGACTGACAGCGGAACAAACTGTTAGACTTTCAGAGCAGAGCACCAGAATGCGTGTGCACAACTATGGATCAGTACACATAAGCATATACAGGATGTTTTGCATCTGGCAATGCAACGTTACCATTTTTAAAAGTGCGCATTGCCAAGTGCATACGATCTTCTTGAAGGGAGTAGTCAAGGGTCTTAGCAACAATCATTTTCTTGAAAATTGTGGCCACGGTAGGAATGGATTCTTAGACAGTACGCGTGCAAAAACTCCTTAACGTTCACAATTATTGAAAAGTAGCAACTGACCTGATAAAACTGTACTTTTAGATCTTCATTATTCACGTATCTATTTTTGCTTTTACGAAAAAAAGCCAAGTAGGAGCAAGAGATCAAAAGAGTCAGCAGACCAGCTGCTATTCTGTAAAAATAAACAAAAGAACATCAAAATCCCACAAAGTATCAAGAATAAGTTTCACATCAATAAGTTTTCATAGGAATGCTCTTCATTAAGATGAAATAATTCATTACATTTTAAGAAACTTCAACATTGAGTTTTAGAAAAATAAAATTCAGAACTTTTATTTTTTTTAAATAAGCTTGTCATCTACAAATTGGAAATTATGCTCTTTCCACAGCAGAGGCAAAAAACCCTGCATCTTGGTCGTGTGACTTATCTGTCACTGAATCAGCACCCGTTATTTTTAGCTACTTTCAATCACCTTCAAACAAGACTTTGACTGAAATAATAAAGTGGTCAGTGAACTAAAGTTAATGGTTTCAAGTTTGGCATCTATCAGGGAAATAGCCTTTAAAAGATGCTGAGTGTTTTTAGTAATGGTGGTATAATAGCACAATTAACAGGAAGATCATCACTCACCGGGTATTCATAGAAAAAATACTGGATTGGCATTACTGAAAGAAATGTGCTAATTATTATACCGTTCCAAATAATGAATTTGATTCACTGAAAGAGCCACACTAATGATTGCCTTCCTTCAGTCATCAAGCAGAGGAACAGTAAAGGCAGCAGAAATTTTTGCATGTATTTATCATGCTACAACCTTGACATGGAAACAGTCAACCTGGACAATCCTCACTTCCACTTGTCCCTTGGCATCTCCACTGAGAACCCACTGAGCAAAAATGCCTATCCATGACTGCCCTGCTCATTGTGTTGTCTCAGGCACAGCAAAAAAACCTACAAAAACTACACAGCAAAGTAAGGCTGCTCAGATCAGTTTTCCAGTAATGATCCAGCCAATATTGGAATGTATTTGTGGGCTACCAAATCACAGAATAGTTGAGGTTGGAAGGGATCTCAGGTCATCATCTAATCCAATCCCCCTGCTCAAAACAGGGTCAATAAGAGCAAGTTGCCCAGGGCATTGCCCAGTCAGGTTTCAAATATCTCCAAGGAGAAGCATTCCACATCCTCTCTGGGCAATCCGTTCCAGGGTTTGACCACCTTCACAGTAAAAAAGTTTTTGCTTGTGTTTAAATGGAATTTCAGTTTGTGCCCATGGCCTCTTGTCCTGTTCCTGGACATCACTGAGAAGAGCCTGCCTCTGACTTCTTTATTTCCCTCCAACAGATATTTATACACACTGATAAGATCTTCGTCTTCTCCAGGCTAAACAAACCCACCTTTCACAGCCTCTACTTTTATGTCAGATTCTCCAGTCCCTTCCCATCATGTTCATGGCCCTAAGCTGCACTTGTTCCAACAGGTCCATGTTTCTCTTGTACTGGGGAGCCCAGACCTGGACACAACACTCCAGGTATGGTCTCACCAGGGCCAACTAGAGGGGAAGGATCACCTCCTTCGACCTCCTGGCAATGCTCTGCCTAACACGGTCCCAGATGCTGTTGGCCTTCTTTGCTGCAAGAGCGTACTGCTGGCTCGTGTTCAGCCTGTTGTCCATTAGGACCCCTGCATCCTTTTCTGCAAAGGTTTTTTCCAGCCAGTCTGTCCCCAGTCTGTACTTGTGCATGGCAGCATTCTTCCCCAAGTGCAGGACTTTGAAATTCCCTTTGTTGCAACTCATGACGTTCCTCTCTGCCCACTTCTCCAGCCCGTTGAGGTCACTCTGAATGGCACAATCAGCCACTCCTCCCAATTCCGGGTTGCCTGCAAACTTGCAGAGCGTGCACTCAGTCCTATCGTCTAGGTCATTAATGAAAAGGTTAAAATATTGGCCCCACTGTCCACCCCTGGGGTACAACAGCACTGGGGAATAGCCTCCAGCTGGACTTTGTGCCACTGATCACAACACTTTGAACCTGGCAGTTCAGCCAGTTTTCAGTCTACCTTAGCATCCACTTAGCTAGCCCATACTTCATTAGTCTTTGAGGATAATACAGGAGACAGGGTGTAAAGCCTTACTAAAGTCAAGATAAACAATATCCACTGCTCTTCTTTCATCCACTGAGCCAGTCGTCTCAGGCAACCAGGTTGGTTAAACGTGATTTCCCCCTTATAAATCCATGCTAACTACCTTCTTGTCCTTCCTGCATTAGTAAATGCTTTCCAGGATTAATTGCTCCATCACCTTCCCAGGGATCAAGGCGAGGCTGACTAGTCTGTAGTTCCCCAGATCCTCCTTCTTACCCTTCTCGAAGGAGTGACATTTGCTTTCTTTCAGTCCTCAGAAGCTTCTCACCACCGCAATAATCTTTCAAAGACTAAGAGTGGCCTCGCAATGACAGTGGCCACCTCCCTCAGCACTCATAGATGCATTCTATCAGGACCTATACATTTGTGCATGTGCAATTCATTTAAATGTTTCCTAACCTATCCACCTTCTACCAAGAGAAATTCTTCCTTACTCCAGACTTTCCCGTGGGTCTCAAAGGCCTGGGGTTACTGAAGACTGGTCTTAACAGTAAAGACTAGAGGTGAATAGGCATTGAAAAAGGCATGGCCTTTTCCATGGCTTTAGTCACCACATTCCCTATCCCCTTCAGCAGCAGGTCTACAATTTCCCTAGTCTTCCTTTTGCTGCTGATAGACCTGTAGGAGCCCTTCTTGTTGCCCTTCACACTGCTCACCAGATTCAACTCCAGATGTGCTTTGGCTTTTCCAACCCCATCCCTGCACATTCAGATGGAGTTTCTATATTCCTCTTGGGTCACCTGACCCTGCTTCCAACTCTTGTATGCTTTCATTTTATGCTTGAGCTAAATCAGCAACTCCTTGTTCATCCCATGCAAGTTTTACTAATATACTGAAGAAGCCCTGACCAGACCCATAGTGCTACTACTCAAGAGCACATGTAATAAATGCACCTGTTTCTCACTGGTACTCTAATTTCTCCCTCCTGTATTTTGCCTTCCAGCATCTCCTTATCTTCAATATCCCAAAATGTCACATATATAATACATTTTTTAAAAATTGTTGCTTCAAGCCTTTTCAACTTCAGAACTCCCTTAACAAGACTCAGACAAACATACACAGTTTCAGAAGTATAATGTTGCTTTAGAAGAATAAATAGAAAGATGTACCGCCAGAGTAAACCGAATGTAAAGAAACGCTAGGGAAGACAATTGGAAGGTAAGCTAATTCCAGTTTGTTTTTTAAGCTGTACTCAAATGTTCTAAGGAATAAAAAAGCTCAGTTTGGACCAGGAGAAACATAAACATGTGCATAAACAACCAAGAGACAGCAACATGGCCAAAATAAATCTATTGCACATGTCTAATGTCCAAACATCAAGACTAGAAAGGGTTTGCAATACACAGATATAAATCACAGTGAAAAATATCAAGGCAGAATGTCAATACTTTTGAAAATATCTGGGCTCATAATTCTATCGGCAATCATACATCACTGCTCTAATCCTATAGTTTACTGAGGATCAGCCATCCTGGCTCTGATGGGGCACAGCATCTTCTGCCAGACAAGAGAAGGAAGTGTTGCAGTCTAAGGCAATTCAAGTCTTTTTCTGAAGTAACTACAGTGATACCACTAGCCTCCTTCAGGCCAATAAATTGGACTGCAACCAGATACGAAAGATGACTTGCATGACGAAAGACTAACTCACAATAGGAAAGGGACAGGTGATGAAGGTACACTAGAAAACAAGGCAAATCAACTTTCAAACAATCAGAAAAGCAACACCAGATAGGAGAGAGAATGTAGAAAAGAGAAGCAAAAGTAGAAGGACAAGACACAAAGGAGACAAGGAGGAAGGGAGTTCTTCCTATCCTATTCACTCACTTCCCTGAATAACTCATTAGTTAGAGTGTTATTCAAAGACAAATTATTCAAAATTAGATGGGGGAGGGATTCAGAAAGATGCTGTCAAAGTAAATTGCTTTTGAATAAATGTTCTTATTCACATATGTCAGTGCTATTTACCACGCTTGCATCCAGTGAAAATCCTCCTTTAACAATGACTTTTATTTTCATGTATGATTTGCAAATTTTTATACTGTGAGAAATGTTTCCATCCACAAGAAATTACAGAATAACGCAAAGAGCAAATGGATGTGGCTTTCTTTGAAGTACTGCTAGAAAATTAGAAGTCCATTCTCATTCACATTAGTGAATAACTGAGGTCTCTGTAATCATGCTATTTAAGTTCTGAATTTCAATATCTGTCTCAGTCAGCTTTCAGTAATACAATTCCTCACATATATCAAAACTCAGCCTAAAATTGTGACTATTAAAGAGGGAAAGAAAAATTTTAGAGAACATGATGAGATGCTTACACTAGAGGAATGTTCGGTTCTCTTCCTACAACAGGCATTAAAGGAAATATTGCCAGAAGCACGCATAGAAGAATCCAGATCAATACTGTTGTCTAAAAAGAAAGAAAGAAACAATGATCACATTGGAGGTCACGTGAATAGATACTTGTCTGCACAGAACTACCAACAGCTACTAGCATCTCCCACAGACAAAAATGCCTGCATCTATCAAAAATCAAATTAACTGAAAAAAAGGACACAAGTTCATGTGTATTACAGCACTTCCGTTTAATACAGAAAATAATCTCATTTAAAACAGATGTCAAAATCCTATCAGAGACAATGAGAATTAAAGCTAAGCTTGTACTTAAAAGCACTTTCTCCCAACATGGCCTTCACACACATTGCAATCACCAGAGAGCTGATGAGTAACCCTAAGAAGAAAGGAATAAAACTGTAATCTCCTCAGAAGTCTGCTGCAGCTAACAAATCAACTATTCTCCGCTAATACAGTAACATTTTCCAGTCTTTGAATCTGAAGGCTATTTGATTTAACCATAGTAATCATCTAACTAATTTCCTAAATTCTCTCTGCTACAAGGGAAAAAAAAATCCAAGTATCCCATTCTAAATAAAGACTTCATGAGCTACATTGCTTAAAATTCTCAAGCTCAAGTCCGATTCTACTTTCTGAAAATAAATGTTCAGTGTCACAAAATTTCTTCTACCTAGTTTTAGACAAGAACAAGATCCTTGATTAATCAAATGCAATAAATATAGGGAAATAAGTAAATATAAACCTTCATCTCAACAGTTCTTGCAGAGCAAGGCTTAGCAATTTGACTCCAATTTTTTTTTTTAATTGAAATGTTAATTTTACCCTAGAATGCTAGGTTTTAGGCATCTTATGAAATAGTAGAAGTTTGAATAAACTAATAAAACAACTATCTCATATATTACAGGTTGTACCACTTCACATCTATACCTACCAAAGTGCAGTTTTTCCTGGGAAAAAGAGCTGCTACGGCAAGCTGCCTCTGAGGAACAATATGTGCCACGTGATTAAAGACAATAAAGATGTGACAACCATTTTTCAGTTATCTTCAAACATTTTTTTTTCCAATAAATGATCATATCTATTAAATGGCGGCATTTTCACCAATCATGGATGTCAACATCTTTGTCACTGTGACAACTTGATAAATGACATGTATTTCATAGATTTTAATCCAAGTATTTTCTAGTTATGATGTCACCAAATATTAACAACAAAAAACTGATAGCTATCCTGAAATGAGGACAGAAGCATGACAAGTCTAGCCAAGACACTGGATTTTAGAAGAACACTAGCCTGTTGGATAAGGATCAGTCTTGCTTAAATGCACTGTTGACTACAATCCATGACAGCTGTCCATCAAAATGTCAATCAAATCAGCAGATTTTATTCTTAAGCAGTCTCACCACTTGTCTTGTATAAAACTGATCAATCCAGACCATGATGCATCCTCTTGCCTTGCTACGTGCTGCTCATCAGACAGAACAGAACAAGAGCATGACTAAGAATCAGAAGCTGCGTTCTGAAGGACTTCAATCCTAACGTCCTAACACACAATCAGCAGTCAGTCATTCAAAAATATCTTTTTCTTAGCAGAGCAACACAGTACCTTTGCCTGAACCCACAGCTGTGTGATCACCGGCCAGCCAGCAAAGACAAGAAGACCAACAGTAAGCGTAGAGCGGTAGAAAAAGCTGAAAACCTAATAAAAAAATAAATCCAACAGAATAACAAAATAAACATGCTAATAAGACTTAAAATTCCTCAAATGGATAAATGCAAGCAATGTAATACTCTGTTAAAACATATTAATAAAATACTTACCAGTATTTCAACTCCCAGTACACAAACCAATAGGAATCCCATAGACTGACCAATGGGAAGTGACAAGAGATTTGCAGCAAGGTCTTGAATAACATGAAGTCTGTTTAAAACAATGGCACAAGATAATTAGTATTTTAGCAACACAAAAATAGGACAGGATTTTATCTTAGAACGGTCAGAGCACGGGCAATTATTTAGGTATTGCTGATCCTGGCTGAGGTAGGAAACAGACTAGGTGATTGCTTGAGGCCGCTTTTGCCTGGTTTTATGTGGAGGAGAAAAAACCCCACCAACAAGAACACACTCACCACACTGCTGTAAAACCCTTCAGGGTTTTTTCCTCCCATTTTTGGCTCATCTTCCCTAATATTTGGACAAGCCTCAGATTACTCTTCATCCAATTTGTCTCTGAGGTTATGAACGCTTTTGGTTATGCTGTGTTTAATGTCCATCATAACTGATGAAACATTCAGAAGAAAAACACCTCCTGGTTAGCTTTTTCAGTGCTTTATGAGGCAGCTCATTATTTAACTGCAGTTGGTCTCATTTTCTCTGAATAATACCTATTTACTATCTACAGAATTGCCAATAGATTAGATAAGCAATGGCAATCAGAAAGTACCAAATGTTTTCGGATTTGGAACATTTCTCCAGGTTAAAGTAGAATCAAGCAAGACACGTTTGTTTCACTACCACAGCACAATCCTGAACACGACTGCTGCGTGTTCTCCAGAAGTACGTGGAGTTCAGAAGACTTGACACTTTGCAGGATCAGACTATTTTAAAATTACTCAAGGAAGGGAACAATTTTACAAAAAAAAAAAAAAAAAAAGTCAGCTGCTACAAGTATTTGCCTAAGCTTTTAGCACCCTTTTTGCTACGATAACCAAAGTACTAAAAACACTTTGTCTTGGAAAGACATAAATTAACTTCTCCTAATAGAAAAGATATTTTCTAGAATTGGCAGCTATGGCAGTCAGTTTGGAAACTGCTCTATACACCAAATGAAATATAAACCAGAGTGGACCAGAATGTCTCAGAAAACCTTTCAGTAAGTTTAATAAAATTACATATAACAATTTTTCTCCCACTCCCTGGGAATAATTTAATTGTCAACAAAAGGAAACATAGACGTGGCTTTATAAAACATCCTTTGTAAAACTTGTAGTCTTTACTTACTCTTTCACAACTGCATACCATACTGGCACTGGCAATAGACAGTATATGTAATATGTCCAAGGACAAGTTTGAATCAACAGGAAAAAAGCTATTATCATTCCAACAAATGCAAAACCGTACAAGAGAACAGTAGATTCCTGAAAAACAAATGGTTAGACAAACATTCCTGAAACAGCAGTAAAATAGCTTAAACTACACACATTATCTTCCACTTGTTCATTATACAGTAAAGTAAAATCTGTTCTAACACAGCCACTCAACTTGTCTTGCATATGTGAATGCATTGTTTCCAGATAGAGGCAAAAACTAATGGTAGAATTTAAAAATCTAATTCTAAATAAGTCTCTGCCATAGGTCCTACAGCAAACTACACAAGCGAAGCACACTTGCACAATCTGGAAGCTCCTCACATGCATCATGACTTATTTTCAACAGATACTCGAAATCCGGTGGAAGTCAAGGTGCTAGAAGTCTTGTGAAAAAAGGATTCTTTTAAATTTAGATACTAAGTATAGACCTGGAGTGTAACTTCCTGAATTCAAGTTTATAACATTACGGTCCAAATGTTTAATGAAAATTCCATTAGCACATTTTTCCTCCTGCTGCTTGAGCCATTTATAAGAGAAATAATTAAATTAAAATATAGCCCATTAATTCCTATGGAATAAACCAAGTTTTTCAGGATTTAGGGACAGATTTTAAAAATTTTTCTTGGGACAGCAGACACTCTCACTTGCCTGCGCTGCTGTACGACAACCAGCCAACCAAGCCATTTGGCCAGGCGCTGTCCTGCCCAACCCATGCTCCTGAAGCAAGCTTGCCACCAACCACCCACAGCTAAATGTTTCTGCAGCTGCTCCTGATCCCACCACAGTTTCCAGCCAAGTGGATTAAGCTAAATCAGTCCTGATTTCAATTTGCCACAAATTGAAAGTTTTGTGTGTGTGAGAGATTTCTTAACTCATGAAGGAATTCCACATTTGCACTGGTTTGCTGACACTGATTTTGTAAATGCTTGCATTATTAAGACCTGCTATAGTTCAAAAGGTGTCAAACTGTGCTAGAGACACAGAAGAGAGATAACGTTGCTCAAAAAACCTACAATTTTAATATGCAACAGAGGACTAGAGTAGAGTGTAGTACAGAGAAAAGGTTCCCACGCAAAACTAGCCCAGTTATTATATTTAATCCTAACCTCCAAAGCCAGGTTTGGGCTTCTCTAAAAAAGTGTAAGACTTTGTGAGATTAGAACATTCTTCCTACTATGTACTAACGCAAACATGATCTCAAACTGTGAGCTGTAAAGAACAATATCAAAAAGAGACATGAAATTTTTAAAATGGATGCTTTCAAACAGAGAGGCTAATCCTTCATATGGCATCAGTTAACAGTAATATCTCATTTGCACAAAAGGGAACATTAAACAGCCATTCTCCATCTGCCTTTTACCTGACCATTGAACCACGTTTAATTTAGGAACGTTTGGGTATTCAAGTGTCACTAGTGAGGGAAGATTATGTACAAATTTTAAATAAACATTTTTATCTTTATGTATTGCAACCTGATACAGCAAAGGCAGCCGCAGTAACTGAGAAGTCTTCAGTGTATTGTGTATTTAATGACTGAAGAAGCTGTTTTCTTCTGTATGGTACTTCTGTTTCTTTGAAGGAGTTAATTTGACAAATATGCAACTATGTTGTATAAGCTGAGATGGCAGACACTCAATTAGCAGTTCACATAGATAGGTTATTACTTTTTCTGTTCCCTCCCCCCTTCCCCACACTGTAATTGATATAAAACTGCCTTGATCTAAAATGACAGCAAGTATAAGTTCTAAATGACTTTTAGAATAGAATTTCTGGTAAGATATGCCATTAAAGTAAGACAAAATATGTCATATTGAAAGCTGACCTAATGCAATTTTGTTCTATTAGTTTTAAATTTTACATTTGCTGACATACAGGCAGAATTAATATGTGTAGATATTATATGCACACAATATAATCTGTCATAGAATGAGTAAACATATACAATCAACATTTTATTCCATATAGAGATATAAATAATATAGAATCCAATAATTGGCCATGCATTGAAGATGGGAACCAGATTCGCATTTTCTGTTAATGTTTAAAAATAGATTAAAAGGTTGGGCTTCTCACTAACTGAAACAACATATTACTTTAAAAGAATAAAAAGTTTTTTCATAAGCCCTACAAGAAGCCAAAAACTTTTGTAGATGACATGTACAGGATATGCATTTTCATTATTCAAAGGCTGCTACCAGATTTTATAAGGCTGTGCTTTGCAGAAGGCTATTTTTTAATGGTAGATTAATTTCACAGAAAAATTCTTTAAGCAGCTTCAATATTAGCTATAAACCAAATAATTTCCGTATCAGAAGCATTAGTCTCACACTACGACTTCCTAAGTATTTAGGAGCACTAAAAATAAAATGGCTTCTACAGAAAAAGGCCTGTTACTACAACTGGGAAAAGAGAAAATTTTAGACAAAGAACATAAGAAATCTCACTTTCTTCTATCACCATCAGGCATAAAAATTTTCTTCAATAGAAAGAAAAAAAGAGGTATATAACCAATTATTTTAGAAATGAAAACCTGACGTTGATTAAAAATATAATGTTTTTGCTGCTTCTTGTTTGATCAAAAATACAAGGTTTCTGCTTAACGTTGTTATTAATATGCCCAATACTCAGTCTATTTCTTATAATCATTTTGTTCATATCTAATGTAATAAGCATCTTGGATTATTTCTTTTGAGTTATTTGATGAAAGAAAACTTAAGTCACGGAGAGTAGCACTTCTGAATATTCTTCTATTTCAATTTTGTTTGATCATTTTCATTAAAGGCCAAGAATATCTCATTTCATCCAGCAGTAAAAACCTCAAGATAGCACGATAGGAATTTTTTCAGAGTAATTTACTGAAGGTAGTAAAGATGCTAAGTGAATGCTCATTCTCATTTACAGTATCTAATGAAACAACTCCTTTTATTCTAAAACAAATTCTTGAAGTTTGGGTCGGTTTTTCCCCCCCCCCTTAAGGCTTTAATCCTCCTCTAGTGAAATGCTAGCTTTTCTCCTGTTCACAGTTCTGAGGTATCTCTCTTTTTTGGATGAATGTTTGAAAGAAAAATGAATTTCCTAGGATTTTCTACTTTGTGATAAAATCAAACCATAATAATCTTATCAAAAAGAGCTTCCTTCATCTTTGATGTCTTCTGCTGCACTCTGCAAATCACAAGAAGCAAGAGAGAAAGCTGATCTGTGAAACCACAGTTCACCTTTCCATTAGAATATGTTATACGTTTTAAAAATGCCATGATGGAACTGCTCAGGTTCAGAAGGCTGATTTTAGATTGCCACAGAGGATAGAAACAAAAGAATTTCCATGCAAACACTCGCTGGCCTTATAATAAAGGCCAATCAAAACAGAAGCTACATTAGTAACACCCGTTCTTCCAAACGGTCGTTCTTACAGCAGAGTGCCAACTGTACCACAATTAATTTCAAAAATTGACTTCCGCTTAAAGATAGACCCTCTAATAGTTTTTAAATCACTATGTTACATTTGCATTAATATTTGGCAAGACGTAAAAGGACATGGAGAAATAACAGTGCTGCAGGTGTGGGAAGGAAGAAATTGTGAGAAAGGAAATTCCTCAGATAAGAGCTGGGAGGGAAGGTCATGAGAGCTTGAAGCTACCCGTATTTTTGTTGTACAAATCATGGTTTGACTCCAATCCAAACTCTATTGTTCAACATTTATCCCTTCCAATGCATGGTACCCACTTGAAGACAGTATTGCATATCCAGATTTGCACTGCTTGGGAATGATGATCCAAATTAAGGCAGAAAAGAGTGACACTATTCTAGCCGCTCTAGTCCTGCAAGCTTCACAGCTCACCAATTTCCACACGAAGTCAAAAGAACCAGGCAGCTGAAGATGTGCAACTCACCCTCCCCCACCAAGAGACTATGTGTACATATAATGCTGAAAAATTGATAGCCATATCACTGCATACTTCTTACTTACCTTGTCACTACTCTGGACAGTTTTGGTCAGATTGGTATGGGTCTTGATAATCACCAAAATCACATAAGCTGTCCAGCCCACAAAACTCATTGCAATACTCAGGCCCAGGAACAATCTGTCGTAAGTATGGTAGTAAGATAGGCCTTCCAGAGCAAGGTTAATCAGGGTTTTGCACAAAGATACCTAGAGACAGACAAAACACACAAGTGAGTTTAGAATACTGCAAGCTCCACTCCACAAACAAATTTGACAGTAACTGGAGTTCAGGCAACTTTGCCATTCTTGGCACGTGCGTTCTCTGTGCATTCAAGTAGAGCAGTTCGGCCACCAGCTGCTACTAGCATAAGCACTATGCTGCTTTGGGCTCCCACGGGATATGCTTTCAACCATCACTTGGCTCTTTTGCCACCAACACAGCAGTGGCCAGGAAGGGCATCAGATCGTGGAAGTGACACAGACAGCACACCTTGAATGCCACCAACTATATAGCAAGCTGCTTGTTTTTCCAATGAGCATTTGGCCATACATGTTTCAGCAGGGGTGACCTGCAAAGCAGCTACGCACCTCTGAAGGCTCGTACGGAAATGACAGGAGGATTAAGGATGAGGTTGAAATTTGGTTGCTTTCTGCAGCCTGAAATATCTCCTCCTGGGATGGATGCATCCCACTTCGGTAGTACCAATACCTCCAACACCTTGCCTAAGCACTAGAGGTAAATTCAGAGACTGAATTGGAGCACTGGGTTCACTCCCCAAAGAGCTACTTTGGGCTCCTGGGACGCACATCATTTGGACGCAACGGGCTCAGTCTAACCACAGGTCCCCCTAGCCCAGCATTTCCTCCCCATCAAGTAACCATTCCGGAGACACCGTGACAAGGACCATAGTTTTCCTGCAGCGACGGTCATTCCTTAAACACAGATATGCTGATATTTGCGATTTCTCCAAAGGTAGGAAACTCAGCTGTATTACTTGTTCACAGAGGACTCTGTTAGCACTTGCTGGCTAAAAACAAGAATAGGAGCCAATTAAAGTGTAACAAGAAGTTGAGCATACATGATGATGCTTCCTATATATGCCCAGGTATCCACTATTCTTTTTTATTATTATTGTCTCTGTTAATTCAGCCAGTATGGACCTCAAGTATAGGCACAGTTAGTGGAAATCTGATATCCATCTCCCAGGAGCAGCTCTTTTCTCTTGGAACACTTAATTTCCAGTCCCAGCTGAATTTGAGCAAACCCAGATCAATAACGTGCCATTGCTCCCTAAAACCCACAAAGTGCTATGACACTTCAAAAAAGTAGAAGCTGTTCAGTGAATATGTCCGAGCCAAATAAGATGTGAGGTAAAGGAGCAGGCCAACATTACTTCAAGATGTGTGTCTCTCACTGACAAAATCCTTTGAGAAGTGGCCTTACCCACAAAATACTCGGAACGGCACCAAGTTCCCCAGAATAAATGGATCACTGTATGCTGATACCATCTCTTTGCAGTTTTCTGATAATCTGATAGGACACAGGCAGTCCTATTTAAGCCATAAAATTGGAAAAAAATTCCCAGCAACAATCAACAGGAAAAGGCACATCAGCTACTGAAGCAATCACAAATCTGCCAATGGGCAAATGCACTCAGGATCACGTCACTCTTGATGATACAAACATGAATGTGTATTTGCAATGAAAAAAGCTGCAGAGAAGATACTTTGCCTCCTCAACTCTATGTCCCAACAGGTAGTAACGCACCAACCTTTTTGCCTTCCCATACAGTAAGCTGAGGATCACGAGGGCTCAGGCACAAAGCCCACTATGTCAGTGATCAAACAAGCGATCCTGAATGTAGAACACTCCAGTGAACAACGGGTAAAATTTATATACACTCAACAAAGCACTCAAAATCACAGCTTCAACTACTAAAATGAATAAAATACTTTCTGCAAGTAAACGTGTAACAGCCAAGAAGTTTTAGAAAACAAAACAAAACAAAAAAAATCCCAAAACTCTTCCCACACCAAAACAGATCCACTGATTTCCACTGAGCAATTTCCAATTTAGGATGAGGTAAATGAAAAGGCATAAGGTATAAAATAGACGTAGCTGTTCTGTGCAGAAAATAGTAATTGATTCCCCTGGGAAACATATTAGAGAAAAAGAGTAAAATCCTAGCACGTAATGGAATTATTCTTCCATGCACTTGCCAGATCAGATGTATATATTTAACTTTTTCATGCACTTTTTAACATAAAAGTCAGAACTAGCCTAAACCTGTTAAAATTTGAAACTTCTTTGTATCAGTTAGCTTTATA